TTGAATTTTATTTAAGGTGTTATTTGATTTGTTGTACACGATAGATTTAAAATTCCACCAGAACTTGGAAGGGTCAGGCTTGGATCTATCTAGAAGTTTTCCCAGTTATCATGTTGTTGTTGTCATACAAGTTTCTTAATAAGATTATATTTGGGGCATTAATGAGTGGTTTAAGTGTAATGTCATGAGTTTTTATGAAGTCATATCCGAGTCATCTGCAAGTAATTATTAATTCATGAATTTTGGGAGTAAATTTCCAGGATTGTAGGACAGGATTTGTTACTTTGCTATGGATTGTTACTTTGATGGCTTGGGTTATGGCATTAATTACATCAGAGGCATAATTATCAATTTATTTTTGGATGTTCACAGCTGCAATGCACCTTGTTTAAAGACTAGGCAGTTTATGAAATTGCCATGCAAGAATGTTAACATGCTCTGCACAACTATGTTGATGTTCAAAAAGGTTTTTTTATATTTTCTGTGAATCACTTTACGTCTATTTACAATTTTCAAGTTAGTTTTTATTTTATAAATTTTGTTGTTATAATATTTTATATTTTTGAAAGAGTACTTATATTCTCCTATTTTGTTGATTACGGACATTGACCCTCAAGAAGTCAAGCCCTATCAATAAACACCCTCCGGAAATAACATACATTACTGTTAAATTTACCCAATCAAAGTTCAATGTACCCTTATGCTGTATTATTATATATATTTGTAGTTTCAATGCATTCATTGTAGTTGATGTACCCGATGATGCCAGGTTAACCTCGTGAAATGTTGTACTTTCATTAAATTTTACTCTGTTTATCCGATTTATCAAGTTTACTTTTAATTAGTTAAACTAATGATTGATATACTAGTAAAATGAATTCCAGGTAGTCCTAAAATAACAAAGACCTATGGTAAGCCTAAGCAAATGGTATATGACAAAGGATACAACTAAGCCTAATTTCAAACCTGAACTTAACCGAGTACTGATCAATCTAATGAAACTTATGTTATGGAACCCAAATAACTACAGATATTAATATCAATAATAAAAGTATTCATAAACCAAAACAGTATAATGCCTTATCTTTCCAAAATCGGAGGACAGTATTTCAAAATGTGTGGGCCACCTAACTTGAGTTGAAGCCCAATGAAGGTCAGCTCATTGGACGATCAGTCTCCCGATGAAGTAAAGCCAATAATTTCCCTGTAAAATACCATCATCTGAAGCTAGTGTTAATGTGCCGATAGAATGCATAACCTCAAAAGTGGTAACTTAGAATTCAGAATTCAAAATGAATAACCAAACACAACTGTGTTGGCAAAAAAATATATAAAATAATTCCACTTCAGAATAACTCAACAAGTCACAAATATCACTATTGTATAATAAATAGTAAACTTGTTGAGAGAAATTGATACAAAGATACTGGGGAGAAAAAATAAAGAAAAACTTGAAGAGAGCACAAAATAAACATTACAACACAGATACTGCCAAATGAGAAGTGATAGTTTGGTAGAATCGAATAGAGGGAGTTACATGCATCAGGAGGGATGTTCATTTCCTTTTATTTTGCCTGTGTTCTTTATTAATTTTTGTTTTATCACTCCATCACCCATGTGTGTTTAGCTTATTATAATAATTTGTATTGTTTCCTTTCTCATGCCCAAATCCCTCATCCCCCTTATGTTTGTGACTTCTTTTGTCCTAATTTTTAAACTTTCTTCCTTTCCTTTCCTCATTTCACTTTCATTGATATCTGTCTTGACAGCTTGGGGATTTGAGCCCCTTACCTTCTGTTTCACTTTCTGGTTTTCCATGTTTGCATTTTCTTCCTTTTCTCTCTCTCCTACCCCTGCTTTTTTGTCTGGGGCATTTCTTCATGCTAATCTGTCTGAGAAGGTGAGTATGTATCAGAAATACATTTCTGATATGGTACATTACCTCTTCTCACATAAATAGATATTCTTGTTCAGTGCTGCCTTCTATATGCAACAAATATTTTCGCATGCCATAAGCCTTGAGCTCCCACTGACCTCACAATAAACTGATTCAAATGTGTCTTGCATGCAAATCATCATGCGACAACCATCCACCAATAAGAGTGCAACACACACACACTGATAATGAAATCCAGAGAGAGAAAGGAAGATTAAGGTCCTTTCACAAATAGTAAGGTACTACCCAAAGCAAACTGGTGAATGTAGCATTCTAACAAGTCATTCCTGACTGAGAAGAAAGAAATTTTGCCAACAGAATGCGAATAGGAGGTCCAGTAAGCATGTGGTAATCCACAACATGTAGAACAAAGGCTGTAATGTCACTGATAGCTAATAAGACTCAGAAAGCCATAGTAGAAACAAGACCTAAGTGCAAAACCAAGTCACTCTCTCAGGATTAAATATAAATCACCATCTTTGAGAATGCATGATAAAAACTGGAACAAAAGTAAAAAAATAAAAAATACAAGGTTTTGTTAATGATAGAAATCTCAACTAATTGAACTCAGATGAGAAAATCAAACATGTCTGATCAGTACAATGCTGAGGAGAAAAATGAAGTTTACACAAGTTCAAATGCATAAGGGAAGTTAATGCACATGAAAGGTGTCTCCCTCTTATTGGTGGAAGGCTTTGTCATGTGATCTCATTATCATGCATTAACAAAATTCATGTTAAATTATGTGAAATTAGATGGGAGTTGCCTCAAGGCTAGTGTCATGCAAATCTCTTTGGCAGATGAGCGAGGAAGGTGACTAAATCTGTGTGAAGAGGTGAGGTATGGTCTCAGAAGATATTATTCTACTTTTAAAAAATGCATATCTATTAGAAAAAAACAGAAGTTTTTCAATTAATTTACAAATAAAGTTTTGCTTTTCTAGCACAACGTTCAACTGAAGTGCTGATGAACTCTTTAAAATTGTTTTAACTCCTTCAGGACATGTACCCATAAAAATCACCCCTCAAATATATGGATTAAGGTGTTAGGTTTTCTAAATGTGAATACCTCACTTCTTTGGGAAGTTATTCATATAGGTCGGCAGCTTTTAAAGTGTGGACTGTGGGCTGATCTAAAATGGGAGTTATAGACATACAACACTATGGCCAAGCCACATGAGAGAATAGAACAGGTGGGGTAGGACTGGTAGGTGGGTCTGCAGGCTTTTTGCCCCACTAGAGTTGTCTGCAAACAGAAAAGTTTGAAGAACCACTGATGTAGCTAGGTAATCAAATTGCAAATAACATTTGCATGTATATATATGCTATGTCTTGATTTTTATGGTTCCAAAAATCATTTAACCATTGGACATAGAAAACTTGTACATATTTCATACTATATAACTTGGAGAGGCAGTTATGCACTTTGCAAAACACTCTGAAAATGTTGAAATTTCTTCATAAGTCCAAAGAGTCCCAAAAATCTTATGATTTTTGTGAGCATGTATGTCAAATCTATCATAAAGTGAAAAAGTTAACTCTGGAGGGCATGGTTAGGATTTTGCTTCAAACAGATGCACTTCTTTTATAAAAAATAAAACATGAATTAACTTACACATGAAGCTCTTTCTCTTTTAACACAGCATTCACCTGAAGTTCTGAAAATTTCTGTCTTGTCACATGAACATCTTTTCTCTTTTCTCGAACAGCAAACTCTAAACACCTTTGATCACTTATATTATAAGTTTCTTCTTCAACAATAAAAAGAATAACTGCTCTAGAAATTAAAAAACAAACAAACTTAGTTTTGTTTTTATAGCAAATGCATAAGGAATTTAAAAAAATTAAAAAGCAGATTTATAATTACTTTCATACAGCAGAATTATAGTACAACAAAGAATGAACTATTAAAAACTTTGAAAACAATATATTTAAGAATTACCACAATGGTGCTTTACTGAAACTTCTCGGATATCTATAGATGCTGTTATGTTAGCAGCAATGAAAAATAAATATTATATTGGTTTCATTACAGGCGTAATTTTAAAAATTATTTTGATTTTATATACGAGAAAACCATGAATCAACAGGGAAACAGCATAAATACTGTCCTGCTTTTAGAAGTCTACGTTATTCTTAATCTCAGGCAAAGTTATAAATGTATGGTTGAAAGTGTGTGATTTTGAAGCAAAGCCACAGTGGACTATCTGCTTTGTCCACTGCCGGGAATTAAACTCTTGATTTTAGCATTTTAAGTCCATAGACTTACTGCTGTCCCACCGGGGGACAGGTTAAAGTCATATTAAATACAGTTTGAAAGTCGTAATGAATATAGTTTGTGATTGCATTATATTAAAAGATCTTCAAACATAATTTTCCATTAATATTCGTTTTGCATAATGTTTTCTTAGGTTATTGACTTTATCACACTCAATCACTTTTATAATTAAAGTATCCACTAACAGATTTTCAATTAGTTGGAAGCATGGTAATAAAATATAACTGATGATGACTTTGAACAATACATCTATGATTAAAGGCCTTTTGTTACTCACTCTTTCAAACATAAAGCACAAGAAAATTGCACAACACAAACAGTTTATCAGAAACATAGATAAAGAGTAATTGTGTGATATGCTCAGACAAAACTGATTAATCTTAGAGAAATAGATAGTTCTTCTGAATAATATGAGATCTGACAAGATATTTATTACAGAGTAATACTGACTTTGTCTGAATACCTAAGTTCGCAAGAACAAAATAAAGAGATTGTGCTTTTACATCTTATGTTGTGTTAAATTTTTATTATAACAGGAAACACAAACAGTATGTGTACCGTTTTTTGACCAAGTATCATGTGAAAACTTCATACATCAGAATAACTAGCTAATTAAAAAATAATACATTAAAATAAGAAGGTAGAAAAACATACATGTTTAAAAACCACAATTGTAAGATCAGTACATCCCTGGTGAAGATGTAATTAACAACACCATCATCAAAATTTTTTCTGACACAGCTCTCACTCACCTATTTACAACCTCTCCCTAAAATCAGGATACTATCCCACCATCTGGAAATCAGTTATCATTAGTTATTCCAAAGGAAGACAGTGAACTAGACAACCCATGCAACTGCAGACCCATAAGCTTATTAAACACTTTAGGTAGACTTATGGACAAACTAATGCCCAACCAATTACTTAATCAACATCCTAAACAACATACAAAATGCAAGCAGAAGAAAAAGACAAATGACTGATCATTTAATTGGGCTCACTGAATCTATTTTCCAAGGATTTAAAAAAAAACTCCACCATAGCTACATTTCTAGATGTAAATAAAGCTTTTGACTCCATGTGGCATGACTCAATCAGGTATAAACTACATTCTTACAAAATACTCAATCCCATCATAAGACGAATATTAAGCTTTCTAATAGATCATCACGTTACAGTAAAAATCAGCCAAGAATTTTCAGAACCCTTTAAACTCAAAGCTGGGGTCCCCCAAGGATCCATCCTAAGCCCCCTACTATACATCATATTTGTTAATAACATCTTCCTCCCATCATACACACTAGCATCATAGTAAGACAGACGACACTGCTGTGTGAAGCACATCCTGTAACCCTCATCTCACAACAACAACAGAAAAAAAAAAAAGAGTCCAGAACTCATTCAACACAATATCTCACTGGTGCAAAAAATGGCGTATTGCACTAAGTCTCACCAAAATGCAAGCAATCTTATTTCACAGAAAAATAGGCAAACATGCCAAGAAAATAAACAAAGTTAAACATCATCTGCAAAATTCCCCCATTACACTTTGAAAAACCATTAAATTATTAGGTACTACCCTAAATTAGAAACTAACATGGACTAGCTATTTAAACAATATACTAAACTCCACAAGCAAAATAATAATTTACCTCCACTGAATTGGAGGAATAAACAAAGGATGTAACAGTAAAACCATTATGACTATATACAAAGCGTACATTAGTCCTCTCTATGGATATGGCTGTGCTGTAACATGCATCAACATGCCAGCACAACAAAATCAAGCCACAGAAATAGCTTACTGACTGCCCATCTACACAACACATGTCTATGTTGATCAGTATCAAGTCTGCCCACCCATAAAACAATGAATACAACCAGTAAAATCTCTGTTTTACAATAAATCAGTCTTCAGAAGCACTCAAACAGCTCTTGCTGCTACCCCAGCCCCTGGCAACAATACATCTCACCTATGAATTTCATAATCAATCTGAACAACAACAATAACTAAACACATCAAATAAACTCCATACTTAGAACTCTAAGCAAAATATTTCTATAACTAATTAATTTGTGTTCAATTATATACTACTGATGAACATTCTTCCCCCACTTCAGCAGCACAGCCTGGCATGTGAAAGTGGGTTCTCTAGGAACCTACCCCCCATCAAAATTCCATAGGGCATTGGATCTTGATATCCCCCCCCACTACTTGGCTACTATCTTGATTATGATAATAATACTGAATATTGTAGTATGTAGACTCCCCTCCACCCTCTGTCACAATAGAATCCTTCAAATGAGGAATTTTTGATAGGTTATGTTAAATTAGTAGTAGAAGTACGCTGTACACGGACACAGTGCAAGAAGTGATTAAATGATGATGATAACACTGAACAGTAGCTACAGTGGTGCTACCTGGTGCCACTTTCAGAAAACAATGAAATGCATTCCACATAAAATCTTACGCATGTGTGCAATATATTTTGCCCTACTGATCTGATAATTTCATCGAGTATTATTTTAGTGTACCTTGTCACACCAAATTATAATTTGTCAAGTACAAAGCCCCTTGCACAAACTCTTTGCCACCAAGAAGTTAGAGCAGTTTTCTATAGGATGAATTTGCTCTGCAAATCAAATTAGCTATTCTGATCAACAAAATTAGACCAAAAATGGTTCATCCTACAAAGCTGTATACTTGGAAATTTAAAATGGAAATAATGTACATACATGTAAACTGTTTGTTAGGTGCTAATTAGTATGAAATAAATCTGGTTCCTTATCTTAAGTATTTTCTTTGAGAATAAAAACTCACTCTGGTTTACCATAGACTTCCCATGCAGCAACTAAACCATCAGCTAATCCACTGACAGCTAGGTTTACAGGAATCTGAAACCAAGGATATTTGACAAAATACTGTCAGAGTAAATAATACTTATTTGTAAAGTAGAACTACAATTAAAAATATTCCAAACTTAATTTGAATATGAAAGAAAGGTGCAACATATCAAAGCTAACAACTTGTTTTATTTTTTTATTTCAATCTCACACTAATTTGCTGCTTTATTATGACCCCCCCCCATCTAAAAAACTGTGTTTGACCATCTTTTATCATAACAATAGTTTAGGCTCAGGATGGCATGGACTTCAAAACACAGCAGAAGGCCATATGTAACCCAGTTTTTGAAAAGTGCATTTCATTTGCAGATGTTAGTAGAAGATTACAATAGTGAATCAGCATTCAAGTTCATCCCCAAGATGCTCTGATGATGGTGTTTCTCAAGATACTCTCTTCAAACCATTTTCAAACAATAGGTGCAAGGCAGAATGTCCCATTATTATCTGGAATGGTTCTTGTTCATCAGTACACCATTATGGGGGGTAGGAAACAATTGTTGATAATTCAAACTCTGAATTAAAAGGCCCAAACTTACCTCAAGATCATCTTCACCACATTTCAAACTGATTGCACTATCACCAGAAATCTTGAGCATAATTAACTATCTCATGTGACATTCTTTACATGTTTTCATCTGTCAGTACAGAAAAGAGTAAAACAACTCTTCATACTACATCACACACACTTCCTGACATGTGTTGTCTACAATCTGTGCTAAGTTACACTGGAGGTATAATTTTATGTTTGTATTTGAGATAAGCATTTATTACCACTTGTCAGTTGCCACATAACAAATTTTCTATAAAAGGCCTTTGGTATGGTTGGAGAATCATTGTCATTGTTGAAAGGGTTGGTTAGATAAGATGCATTCTGAGATCAACTGCACTTTACAAGATTTTCTAACCATACCTTTTCTTGATTTCTCACCAGCAGTTGATTGTCAGTTTTTTTTTTGATTGCTTCTGTTCATATACTGTAAACAGATCTCTTTTAAACATCTGGCGAAGGAAATGATTTTTGATAAGTATTAACTCATGCTAATGAAGAATCTACTATCATGACCCTTTGAAAGTTAAAATAAAAAAAAATCTTGACCTTATTCATTATTTTTAAGACCTACATCTTAACATAACATAATGTTTAGGGACAACAAATGACCCATTGGTCTATCTCAGTTGTCCCTTCTTCTAAACTAAACTAAAACTATTAAATAAATAAACTTAAAAAAATCTTAAAGTCAGCCCTTATCATTCATATAGTTATCAAGCTTTCTCTTAAAGTCACTTAAACTTACTGCCTCCGAAGGCAACCCGTTCCAGACGCTAACCACCCTTGTTAGAAAAATAAAACTAAAATAAATAAAATATAAGCCAAACTAAATATATA